TTCGTCTCATTATTTCATCGATCACAAAGTTAAAAACGAATGGAGAGAGTGGGCATCCCTCACGGACACCGCTTTGTGTACGGAAGCTTTTGGAGAGCTCTCCGTACACTCTCACACGTCCGGAAGTCTGAGAATACAAAGAACGTATTATGTTTACAAACTTCCGGGGCATTCCTTGTTGGGCAAGCGCCTCAAGAAGAACAGACCGATCAACCGAGTCGTATGCGCCTCGGAAATCCAGGAATACTAGAATCGTCGGTCGCTTATACGTTTGGAGAGGGACGTCGGTGAACACCGAACTACGTGGGCAAATGGTACTTCCCATTGCCCAGGTCAAGGAAAGGGGTCTGGATGAGGTAACCACCTTGAGCCCCTGAATCAAAAGTTCAACCCCTAAGGCAGTGGGAAGACGCAGGGTTTTGTTCGGGGACCCTGCCCGTAGCCTGGGACTCAGAATTATGACCTACGAGGCAGCGGACAGTAGGGTTTCCTTTTGGGACCCTGCACGGAGCCGATACCTCAACAGTTTAACCTGTTCGGCTGCAGGGGGTTGGCCTGACCCAAGGACGCAGGGAATAAGAAATTACTGTCTCATTTCTGATGCGTCTGCTCACAGCAGGTGCCTTTTGAACGACACCGGACGCTTTGATTTTAAGAGTTTTGACCGTATTGAATAATGCGCCGGCAGTTACAGCAAACCGTTGGGCGATCGGAGTGTGCAATTTTTAGGGCCGATTTTTCCTAACCCGTCCTTCCTCGGGGGAAGGCAGCATCGCTGCTTCTATAAATATGAACATGCTGGTTGTCCGGGGAAACACCTTACTGCCTTCACACTCCTGTCGCAGAGGACAGTACGAATTTACCCCCAGACCACCCCGTACCACGATTGCTCGTAGTGCGGGGTCTCGTTGCTCTTGGTCTGGCCCTTTGGCCTCCTGGTATGGTTGTACCTTGTGGAACGAAGTCCCAGCCAGTGTAGCCCGCGGGATCATTGCAGCACTCAAGCCCGACCACCACGTCAAGGTGGCAGCTTTGGGTCGGGGTCTGCAACATCGATCCAAACTTACCAAAAAGCCACCAGAATTTTGTAGAACTGGCAGTAATTAAAACATTTCGGAGGGCTAGCGGGAACTAGTGATCTAGTCTTTTAGAACCCTTTGCTGGGGTCATGCGGCTCGACGGAATGAACACGTTATCTTCAAGATGAAAAGCTATTACGGGTACCACAAAAACTAAACCAATAAATAGCGACCAAGATAGGGTACACAGATTCTTAAACACCAATTCACAAGAGCCTAAGGATTTCGATTTCGGCCAAAAAAGTAAGGTGTCAGTCATACTCTTTGTTACAGAGATTGGTCAGAAATCGGTTCAGAAAATCCCATCCCGAGGAGTTGGTTGATCACCTCTGCGGACAATTCAGTTGGCCTTCGTTAGCACAAGACCTGGATGGACATTGTGAAGTTGAACATAGAGCCGACACAGGGATATCACAAGCGACAGAAATTCAACACAAGATTTCTTCAACGGAACGCGGTGCTGAGCCCCAAATATTTACATTTTGTAATCCTTAAGAAAGTGGATGAAAGCCTTGGCTAGCAAGCTGCAAGGAAGGAGAAAAGAGCACCAGTGACATGGAATGATTTGGCAGCGACTTGTCTTCAGAATTGGCGTAAGATCATTCTGTGAAGGAAAACGCGGAACTAGTAATATAGCGGGGCGTACGCGATCATGGTGCCGTTCTTGGGTCAAATCCTAGAGGAATTCTGATCGCCCTGGATGATTTACGTAATTCTGCAGCACGATTTGGTACGCTTTTTATAACTTTAAAGTGTGCAGTACTATTGCGAGACTACGTGGGATTAGAAATGCCATGTTTTCCGCCAGGAGGCTGCATTGGAAGAGTACCAGTACCTAGACAGTGTATGGATAACAGGATTTTTCTTAAATTTTAGTGCAAATTAGTGCGAAAAAAAGCTAGAAAATCAAAGGTAAAAATCACACAGAACATCAAAACAGCGAGGAGAAGTAAGGTTAAACGGACAACAAACAAACCTCTCTGAGTGAAACATTTCCAAAATCGAGCGCATTATCAAGCATCGAAAGGGTGAGTGTGTCGTTCATCTCAATATCTGTCTGATTTATCCTGGAAATAGGGATGTGGGAGTCCAACTGATCATGTACCGGTTGGCTTACAGTCAACGGGATGTCTACTGAACTTGAACTGCGGCTATCAACGATCGCTACAAGTTGAGTGGTGAGTACAAACGATTCGTCTTGAGAAATAAATGTTGGATCGGCAATCTGCGGAGCAGCTATGTCGACGGCCTGTGTATTATTGGTCAACGGTTGTTTGGGTGTGGGAGAAAGGTCAATAAATCCAGGTTCTATTTGCCTGTCAAAAATAATTTTCGACGACACTTCCGAGCGTCCAGCAGGTGAGGAACGGCACCGTTTGGGCTGCGGCACACCGGGTTCAGATAACGCCCGTCTCGGCGACAAAACGGGCTTTTCAGTTAGTTCATTGGAGATGAATGGAGGTGACGGTGAACGTTTCTCAGAATTTGTGGTTAAAGAAGTACGCATCACCGCAACTGACGTAGGACATTGAGATTGGTTTGGGGACGCATCAGTTTTATTCGTACATACGCTGCTTTGAGAGGATGATCTAGTTTCATTGGTAGGTGGAAGCATAGCGATATGCGTCCCATAAACTGCGACCAAATCCTGCTGCAACAAATTCTGAGCCTTTTGAACGATTAGGGGAGCGGCTTCCTCCTCATCGACGTACCTTCCGTCATCGAGCATGATTGTTTGACGTTGAAGGACCCCATGCGCGGACAGCTCACCACTGTGGATTACAGACACGGCGATGAAATACAACAGGTCAAAGAAAGCGTTATCAGATAAATTGTTCAATTCAACTGTTGCTAACCAGCGTGACCACCCACAGCTAAAACGTACCGTTGAAATGGAATGGTGCGCTGCAACAACCTAGAGAGGTCTCGTGGTTTTGCGTTAGCCACGGCGGAGACAGAGGTGTAGCCGCCAGCATACAGAGCACGGGCACGCTGAGCGTTGACCAGAGGCAGTAAACGTACCAGATCCACTAGTTCTTCGGCAACTCCGTAGAACAATCGAGATTGGAAGCCGGCCAGCAAACGCTCCAGATGTATCCAACCCAAGCGATTGCAGAAAATAGTAACCATTCCTATTGAAACAAGCAGAAAGTATTCAAAAGAATAACTCACATCTTAGCGGCACTTATGGACGGCAGCTCCGGTGCAGCTGATTCTGATTATATCATGCAACTGGGAAGATCAATAAGATGGGTTGACCGGTGACTAATACAAACGCAAAAGTGGTGTGCCCAAAAAGGATACTTCGTGATGAAGAGACTACCCACGGACGTCTCGGAAATGTTAATTTAAATAGGGCAATCTAGAGAACGAGCAAAGAAGCTATAATCCAGATGGGAATTTAACTCATAATTAAGCTGCTCATCATGGTCGACTCACCGGCATAAGTAGATGCCTGCTGCTGTAAACTTTGTAATAGCCCACGATTAACTCCGAACTGCTCCGCGACCGTGCCCAAACCATCTTCACATACCAAACGATACAAGGTGAGTGCGGTGTAGAATCTTCGGTGAAGAGCCACACGTTCGGAATTCGACGCTGAAGCACCTTGTCTAGTATTAGTGTTACTAGTGGTTGATGCGCCCGCCGCACAACGTGTGATGAAGCGCTCTTCGATCCCGATCAAATCGGCTACGCGACGATCAGCCGGAGACAGCGATTGATAGTGCTCCAAGTAACGGAACCAATCGAGTCCTGCGCCCACGTCCAGATAGACAGGAGTTAGCTGAAGTTTCGCATGAGAGAGCTCAGTTAGAGTGCGATACTACTGACCGTTGTGTAGTATAACAAAGTGCCATCAGTAAAATTCAGGCAAATTACAAAACATGGATATATCTCTTGTTTGAAAATACGGCGCTACCCCGGGAGCAAGTGCACTTTTGGGGGCAGCCCAAATGCAACGCTTGTTGGCACAAGCTCTGGCCCACATCAGAATCACTAGATTCTGCCAGATTAGTAGATGCTTGGGCTTTGGAACCTGAAGGAAAGAGGCGATTTTCCTAACAATCACGATTAGTCCTGACTGAGATGCCATCGTGATGCTTCTCGAGCCAAAAAGAAATAACATCCAGGACATTACGCAAATTCAAACATCTTCGGTTCCTTATGTTGTTCGATAGTCAACAGCAGTAAACATTCTGCTGAAAGTATATTCAAACATGACAATCAAATCTTGAGCTCAGTGTGGCAAAATCTCGACATGGGAGATTGCCGCGGTTATGTACGGTTGTAACATGAGATAATTCACAACGCACGTGGAAGTTCACTGCACCTCAGAGCAACGGAGGGTTATCGTCGTTACCTCTCCGCGAAAGATCCGGAAGGGCAAACTTACCCACCATCCTCGCCGCCGGCGTAGCATGCATAAGCCCCCAGAAGACCACAACAACTAGAGGATAACTCATAAATGACGGGTATTTTTAGCTGTGGCCTCAGTGGGAGCAGGATTGTGAGATAAAATGGCACAGTGCATGGCCGGGTACGCTGTGGGCCGCAGTATTATTACTGAAAGAAGCAGTGCGGGTACACTGCCCACTACTTAGCTTCAATGTCAGTGGCATGGAGAGTACACGACACATGCCGTTGACGCTCGACTTTGACGAAACAATAAGCTGGATGTGACAAAAATGCCTGGTTGATTGACTCACCAAGTAGATCAGGTGGAGGTCCGTATCCAAAGCCAAAGAACGTTGAGCCTTGTCCAGTTCTTCGAAAACAACGAGGCCATGTGTCGGACCCAGAGATGAAGATAACACGGCTCTTCCCAACGCCGTTGGCTTGAGCTGATAGCAATTTGGGATGATTTGTGTCTTCAAATGATTGGAACTCTTCGCTGTGTGACACTGCGTACAATCGATATTGGCGCAGCGGTTTATCACAATAAGATCGTGATCACAAAGCTGGGAGAGACAAAGATTCAGAATGCGATCCGCCTTTGACAAGGTGGGATCTCGCCGCCACGGAGATTTTGAAAGTTTCTGTGGTACCTCAGGTGACACTTGTGACGCTTCCACGGAAGTAATGGCACCTTTGGTTTGCGATAAACGTAAGGATCTGCGGCGTGGTTGGCGAGCCGGACTGGGATCCTCCTGTGACGTGGCTGTGGATAAAGCCTTCGCCATCAGTGTACTCGACAGATAATGGCGGGCCTCGGCAACATTCACGATAAATCCATTGGCAATAACCTTTGGTGAGTAAAATATTGAGCAAAGAGTGAGTGCAGATTGGACTGACCCCTTCAGTTGCTGAATAGAAACAACCAAGGTGGATGTAGGTGATGGATGTGCTCTATGAAGCAACACATTCCTACTAGGTCTAAACAGTTCGGAACAGAGCATCCCGCTGCTAAATTGTTGGTAGTACGTGTTCGGTGTCTAACTGCCATGCCGCCCGAAGTACGAGGGCTGAGACGGGAGCAGCTGAGATGCCAACGTTGGGTTCAAACTATAGACGTTCGAGCCAGTAAATAATCGCCTTAACAACTGAGCTAGTGTGGTAAAAAAAACAATGGAATCCGATTGCACCAGAGGAGCGGTCTTATCTTACTGGGAAGAATGGCCAGATTTTTGTGACTGACCTGCGGTTGCGCACGGTTCTGTAAGAGGGTCACTAGAGGAACTGATTAACCAAGGTGATCAACCCAATGACATACGAACCGCTACCCGCTGGTATCGAGTGCCACACAACCAGCTGGACATCATTGTTACTTACTAGCTTCCAATATTTTCAAGCCAGTCAATTTTAGTCCCAGTATAAAATTCTGCTCGTGGTTAAGCGTTTCTTATTGACAAAAACATACCAATTCGAACTGTGTAAGACAGTGAAGCACCAGTGTTGAACACTGTTCTGCTTTCTATGGTGATGATGGTGATGTACAATTACGTGGCTCTGAGAATACCATAACGTTGCACTCATTGAGCTAATGAGATCTGACCACCCGAATTTCACTCTAAGCAACCTTGTCAGTCCTGCACAACATAAACCGTTTAGACAAGCCTGGTATGGCAAACTTCCTTTACTACTCATAATTTATCAAACGACGCTAAACGGGTGTTCAGCATGCTACTGGATTCAAGTCACACCCGTGCTTGTTAGTTGTACGGAAACAGCCGGCTGTGGTGGTCAGAACACGGCACGAAGACAACACACTCGCCATCAGCGTAGAGAATCAAAGGAACTTCCGTAATAGCGTTGGATTTTTCACTGGCGTGAAAGCGAAATCACAGGAAAAGGTGAAAACCCAAAGTCAGTAGACTTCTTGCGAAAGAAAAAATGTAGTACGCAGAAAAAAAACTAACTCGATATGCAGAAAGTCTGTTATTTGCCTATACTTGTAATGTACTACTTATAAGGTTGCTGAAAATCCGTCGACAACCCACGACCGGTTTCGCCCTTTTTGGGCTCATCAGGTAGGCGCAGTCCCCGGGATTCCGTCAACCTTATGTTCTACTTGAAACCAAATTGCACGAAATTAGCGCACATACACTCATTTTCAAACTAATTTAGTTTTTTTTCGAGAGACTCATCTGGAACCCAGCTGAATCTCTCGTTTGTGATGTTCTCAGGCAACTGAATGAGCTGCACCAGGCCGCCTCATGTTTCAGTCGCTACGATATTCGAGATATCGCGATACATGCATATCTTTGTAATGTACTACTCATAAGGTTGCTATTTAAATGGATGACGGCCAAAGTAGGGCGAAAGTTCTACAGTTTGACCGTACTGTGAGAAATGGAAATTACAGTCTATTCCAACTACGTGAGCGGTCACCGGGAGACAGTGGGTGTTTGTTTGGTTATTAGCCAGTCAACTTATCAGGTATAAATCACGAAGCATAGGTAACCTGGTTCCAGAGAATGTAATTTCAGTCAGCCAAAAATGGAAGAGCAGGGGAGGAATTGGACCGTTGTGAACTGTTGCTTTTGACTGCAATGTCTGGCCCGCCTCGCTGAGTAGACATAAATCCCACACTCATGGTGCTAATACCCATAGCAGATATATTTGGAGTAGCATGATCAGGCTTATCTTGTTTTCAACCCGTATTGGACAGTTCGCCGAGGGTTATAGTCAACCGTTGTTTGGCAGGAGGGTTGGCTTTTGGTCCACTCTTTTCTAACCTATCCCTCCTCGGGATTACATAAACGCGGACATGATAGTCATCAAAAAAGAAAAGCCGTACTGCCTTCACTCCTGTCGCACAGTGGATTATGAATTTAAATCCATGCAGACTCTCAGAATGACTACCTGTGGTACGGAGTCTCGTCGCTCCCCTGGGAATTCCGGGATCTTTGCAGCATTCGAGCCCGTCTCCCAGGTCAAGATGGCAACTTTAAGCCTACATAAAAAGAGGTGAAGGAACTAGAACGATCCTTATTAGGAACGAGCGTGGAATGGAAACAGTAAGGGAACTGGTGTCTTCAAGAATTTGTAGAACCATCTACTTCGGAAGACCTTGCGTTAAGGTGGGCACCGACAAAAAGGAAGTGACTGTGTGTGTTTACATCGAGAATGCGGATTAAAAATTGACCCGACATCTTTTCCGAGGATTGCAAGCAAGCACACATCCGAGCTTTCTACGCAGCCCAGCTAGGAAAAGACATACACGCCATCAACATCCGATGCACGCAAAGTCCTGTAAGGTTCCAAGTTACGTGCAGGTTACGGTATAAGCCGTCGTATATTCACGATTATGCATCCTGCTGTATGGACGGAATAAGACGACCTGCTGGAATCAGGACAATTTTGCTTTGAAGTTTATGGTTCTAATCGATTCGTCCAGCTGTAACCCTCTTTCGGCGCCTAATTGCCATGCCACCAGAAGAAAGCGTGAAGGGTGAGATACTGCCAGGTTGCCCAAGTCTACAAAGGTGAAGTCGAGAGGCAGAGGTCGGGTTCGAACCACGGACCGTCCGATTAGTAAATTCGTGCTCTAACCACAGAGCCATCTTGCTGCCGGTTTATTGCTGAAATGAAACTGAAATAGTACCGGCGCACCAAACCTAGACTTAGCCTCAGGAATGACTGTCAGTTCCCTATCCAGCCATTAGAGAACGGCGAATAGGGTGCTGGCACGAAACAGAAATTCAAGGTGACATACAACACAATTATGGTCATAAAGAAGCACTAGATGGAATTGGAGAGGAAACGGTGCACACGGAAGACGCAATACAAACACGGGACTGAATATTATATTTTAGAGTGGCCAAATAAAACATTGGTTGTGAAATTGTAAAAAAGAGGTGTTTGCGGATGACAACTTCTCGAGATACACTCTTATGAAACCTTGAATATGAGTCTTTGACACGAGCTTTTCCTGCTAATTGGAAAACAGGGTGCAACGGACTTTACCTGCCCATCTAGGACACTGTACATATAAGAGTTAGGGGTGAATAACGAAATCCTCTGAGGCAAACCAGCTCAAGCTCACACTGAACACAAACTTCGATTGAGGTTAATGTGCCATTAATCTGCCTTACCTCCAGAAGAGCACGTTTAAAAGTTGACTCAGCCGATCCCCCAAAAGCGTCCATCAGACACGAATGTACCGGAGGCATCCCAGTACTAATTAGCTGTCGAACACGAGGTAAGTCGCGCGGTTTGCACAACAGTATGCTCTGCCCTGGACAAAAAAGGTGAAAATGTGTCAAACGGCAGAAAAAGCCATCTAGTGAAACAGTGATTTTCCGTGGCTACAGATATTCAGATGAAAAGTACGTTGATGTCAAAGAAAGACTCAAATAAAATTCAAATGAATCTCTTATTTGGGATGGACGCTGAGGTGTAACACCCTTTCGGTGCACAGCTGTCAAGCCACCCAAAAGAAGCAGGAGAGCTGAGATACTGGTTGTCAGTCTAAATGAGAGCAGTCGAGATGCTGAGGTTGGGTCAAAACCACTGGTCCGTGAGTTCACGCCTTAACCACTGGAGCGCCACGTGCTTGTTTATGATATCCTTCAGCTGAATGCCACAAAGGCCGCCTCTTGTTCCAGTTGGGGCGATGTCGATATCTTTAATCTCGTTCCAACTGAAACACCAAGCAGCTTCTGTGGAGCACATTCACTTTCAAGATGAATAAACAAGCTTTAGTTGAATTTCATGAGTTACACCGACTGCAAACGGATGTGTCGCCGCATAGGAACAATTTTGAGTTCAGGTATGCAATGAGATTGAAGGAATTCGATGACTAGGCCTCCAGATGATCCCCTGAAAGAATTGTCTGTAATGCGTTGTCCAGTATTTACAGAACTTATTAGTAGAAATCATCGGAATGAAAATAACTTTCTACTGAATGTGGCAACATAACTCTAAAACTCACTGCTGATGTCTAATTAGCCAATTAGAAGTGGAATCGGTATACCCTAAAAGAACTTTATACACTGCATCTGTAATGAACATCTGAGTGATTGAAAAGGTAGCTGGATAACGTAATACCGGGGGAAATGTGAACGGGGAAAAATAAACCCCCATAAGGTCACAACGATGGGATTTGATGTCTCCTAGAATGATGACTCACTTCAGAGGGTCGTGACTGATATGGAAAACTACCGTGGATTTCAAAGGAGTGGGTCCTTCGAGAAGGGATGGACAGAACTAAGCAAAAACCGTAGACTGCGCACTCTGACTTAGGCGAGCAGAGGTCGAAGTTTGGCACCTTTGTGAAACTGCTTACGGAAGTGAGTCAGGATGTCGAAGATATATTCCCGCAAGGCATGTCTTGCAGATGATTTACTGCGCAACACAGTCCAAATTGATGGCTGTTCCAGCACAATCCAGAGGGAGCCATGCGGCTCTCCGGACATTGTTCGTACAATCATATAACCACGCCACTAGAACGATTACACAACGCCGGTATCAAAGCTTGATTATTCTGATCGTAAGAGCGTCCAAATATTTGAGGGAAGTGGAATTTACAAAGGAACATCAGTACCTCCGGGATGAATTGTATAGGGTATTTGAAACGTTTGGGTTGCGCTTACCCGATGTATCTACACCTTGTCTGCCTGCTCGTCCAGCCATTTGTTTGTAACACAAATAGTCTAAAATTTTGCCGTGGAAAAGCGGAGTCCGGATTATGACACGGCGAGCAGGCAAATTCACGCCAGAGCTTAGAGTCGATGTGGCAACGAGGATGCGAATTATGCCACTACGAAAACCTTTTTCCACAACCTCGCGTTCTTCCACCGTCAAACCTAAAAAATAATAAATAAATAATCGTTAGGCTGTGACATATTGATCTGCTGTGGCGATAAACATTCAGATGCAGATTAAGTTGATGTTGACGGGAAACAAACCAAATTCAAGTGAGTCTCTTGTCCAAGATAATCGCTCAGTTGCAACACGCTTTCAGTACCTGGCTTCCATGTCACCCGAAGGAAGCACAACTGAGATGTCAGACTGCCTAAGTCCAGAAAAGAGGAGTCGAGATGCTGGGTTGGATTCCCGTCCTAATCACTGAGCTACTTCGAACACAAACACAAATGGTAGTCCAAAACGGTAGAACATATAGGTAATAATATGAAACAGGAGGTCCACATGGAGGTCCCACGTGCGCTTCACCGGCTGAAAATACCCAGCCGCACATTGGTTGACAAAATGATAAGATGCATGAAGAGTTCGGTTGCGGTAGGCACAAAACGAAAAAAGTGGAGGCGGGCAAGCAGTTATCAACCATTTTGAAGAAAACGGACAACGAACTAAGCCGGCGAGGCCTGAGATGATGGTGCAGTTACCCTCATCGGAGCTAGTCCCCGGATGGGAGAGAGCTTCGGGTTGACCATTTGAAGTAAACTTCAACTGGAATCTTTTCCAGCTGATGTTACTTTGGTCGGTTCCTCCAGATTGTCTCTCTAGAGAAGGACAACTTTAATAAGTACAACAGTAACTATTATTGGTAACTGTAATGAAAATAGTGGACAGCTCGACGTACCTGCATGATGAAAGGCAACCGCATAACCTAAGCATCGTGCCAAAGATGGGTCGAGTCCAGCAGGACACTGTCGAAGCCGCTCCACGCAGCCCATTAAGCCTGATCGATCCAATCGTGCAGCTAAGCGAAAGGCAATAGATTCAATTCCCCCCGGCGTGGTCATAGTGATGTCATCTTTCCCGTCTGTTTGGGGTGGCCGAGTGTTTTCGTCCTCTTTGGCGAGAAAGTAGGACTGAGTTATCGTGAATATCTGTCGAGGGGAGTACATACGAACACATAAAGCTGTCTTCCTGAAAACTACAATTCTGGCTTACGACCCTTCAGCGCCAGAAAACCAGATTTCTCATCAGAATGTGTAGCGTTAGGTTTTTCTGCTAGCAGCAAAGCGGTTATCAAATACAAGTAAGGCACGAGTAGTATGCACTGAGACGAACTCACATGCTTAGCCATGCTGTCCGCCAGCTGTTCACACCACTGTTTTGTTGGGCAAAACACGAGAACCCCGTGACCGGTGAGTAATGTGTCTAAACACAAACTGAACACACCATCCTCGTCCACCGAAGTCAAGTGAGCCTCCGCGCTTAACTGGGAATCAAGCAAAGGTGTGGAAACCGGTTGCAAACGTCTGCAATAAAGATTAGGTCGATAGTTAAGGATTAAGGTCAGTACTAAAGCGAGGAATCGAAACGATGACAAGTCATCGAGTACACTCAGCTCAGCACATTTTGGTTTACCTGAGTCTTTCTACGGCAAATTGGGGTTCGAAGGTCGGGAAGGGTATACGACAAAAGCGCAACCACCAACAGTAATTAGGGACCCACAGCCTGGTAAGGAGTGCGCAAATATAAGTAAAGGATATTCAATCTAAGTAACCCAGCAAGGCATAGAGCTTTCTGTGAATTACATTAACGAGTTTGGAGGAAATGGGATTCGCTTTTTCTGATTTAGCGGAATGAGGCTTCAATACGCATTTTCCCTGCAGCACGTGATACCACCATGGCCCTCTGCGGTATCAAACTCAGGAAGATCAATAAGCTTCGTTTTGTTGGTGGTACGAAAAGATTCAGAAATTTCTCACCGTATACTTCATCTTGCAATTCAGGCTATTCTGAAGAACTGTACAACTGCTTCATTACTTTTGGGAGTAACGGGCAGTATAAATCCCACTATCGTTTGTCCAGAAGCAGTCAATCAGCAATGTGATCAATTCGCATTTTGAAAGTATATAGCGTCACCCATCTACCGATCACAGAATTCACACCTCATCAGTAACGGAAATCCAGTGCGCAATATCACTCCTTTACCCTGGGCTTTTCAAATATAGTGAAGAAGCCAAGTTGAGCAGTCATATGACCCAACCGCGGAATATTGGAGCTAAAACGTAATACCGATGGGATGGAGCGCTTCGATCGTGATCCGAATCTTCAAAAATGGCGCAAGTGTCACGCGAAAACTGCCGTTGTATCAGCTTGGTATCCTGGCATTGATTTGTGCCATTCATCGACTACCGAGGGAGGAAGAGAGAAATTCGTGAGACACAATCTGGGTTTCGCTATGGATGAAATTGAATCGACCACATCTTTACTTGAGACAGGTTCTCGAACAGCCCCACTCTTCCAAACGTCCACCGATGGTCTAAAGTTGCCGTGACTCGGGGATACATTACTTTTTTGCTCGAGCTCCCCACGTGCAGTAGCGTAAGACAAGACTATCCTCTCTCCAATTTGTTACCGCTAGACAGATTGGAACTTCTCTACCTACCTTCGAAACGCTCCGGGGGTGGAAATCCATCCTAATGAACTGTGGATAATGAACCCTGAAGGTCTGTAACGGGAGGGTGTGACGGATACCACTGTCCACTCGGAGTGTCATAAGAAATATTTGCGAAAATTTTCAATAAAATAAGAAACCCAAGCAACAGCCAGACAATTAATGGACATGAAAAATTGATTCGGCATAGAACTACTATGCCAATCTATTTCTAGGTGATGTGCAACGCACCGTAGTGAAGTAAATATACGAATTTGAGGGTGTTTCTGTCTAGTCTGTGTATACTATGACTGCTATTCTTGTGCGTAAATAGTCTAGGAAACAACGGTATAAACTATGAGAGGGGTAGAGCGATGTCATGTCAAGATGGATAAAATTGATACGGCAAAATATGATAAAATTCAAATTTCTGCAGTTTACAAAAGGCCAGAGCGACAGGTGGCTTGCATACTTAGAAATATGCACACAATCTACCTGAAGTGAGATGTTGAAAATAACAGATAAGCCGAAGAAGTTAATAAACTGCTTACTCTGAGCCAGGATTCGAACCACTACGAAGGGCGTGATGAGATTGAGGTGAGTCAGATCGAGCGACCAAATAAGCATGATTCACGGAAGTTCTCGAATCGCGTGAAAAGACCAATTCGGTCAGAGGGACCGGTCGGAACGTGGTAGTATACACTGCGGCATCCAGCCAATCGCCCAGAAGTTCCAAATTGGGTAAAGTGGCGCTCATACCAACAATTTGTACACCCTTAAACTTACGAGTTAATTGGGTGGCCAAAGGGGACTGCGAACAGAATAAAGATGAATCCACCTGTGACTCTTGCCGAACCCGACGTGAGTGAACCAACAGTTTGGTCAGCAATAACTCCAATAAGTAACCTCGATGTGTATCCCCAATTAGGTGCAATTCATCCACGATAACAAGCCCTATGCGAGATACAGTAAGAAACGAGAAGGGTTGTTCTGCCAGCATTCAAGAACGATACACGAAAATGCAGACGGTTACACCAGGGAAAGCAAGGTTCCAACGCAGTTGATTGGAAACGGGACATAGATATCAGACGGTACTACGTTAAGGAAGTGAAGAGGAATTTTAAGACATATGAATAAACTTGGTCAAAAAAACTCACCCAATTCATCTAATCTTCCTTCTTCAACAAGCCGATTGACCATACTGTTAGCCTTTTCTATTGTGCAGACGGCGACGTTAACGGTTGACAAGCCCCCTGGTGGACTCTGGCCGGCCATAAATCCACCCACCCGAACACCCAGGCCAGTATACAACTTCTGTTGCATTCAGAGGGATAAAGTAAGATGCTCGAAAGTTGGTTGGGTAGATATGATGAAACAGTAAGCAAGAAATCGACCGGAGTCGTTAGTAATCATCAAGTTCACATGTTCCTTACGCAAAAACATGAGGGATGATTTGAGTTGGCCAATGGTTTGACCAACGGCTGACAACAATGGTGCGAACTCATAAACTAACAGCTAGTAAGAGTGAACAGAAGTAATCGTTCGCCGAATCCTTTATCAATAGTATGACTGGTCTCCACTTTTGCCCAATCATCAAAATTTGGCCTGATGATAATGGTGTCTAAAAAATTTTCGCAAGCTAGATGAGTCACAATAGGGGAATACACAAATTTCCAGAGACATGAATTCATTAGAGGTTCATCCCCATATGTCTGGTGTCTAATATTAGTAGTCATTTATGCTTCGAGTATGTTGACCCAAATGGCTTCCAAACGATCAACAAATGTACAGTATAGATGCTCAAACTTCGTACTATGTCCAGCAACAAGTCCTTCGTGAGTTACAGCGAGAAAATGGAAGGGTAGTTTAGCCAGTAGTCACGAATTAATTGAATATACCACTGCCTCGAGGGCTTGGCTGTATGCCTCAAGGTCTCTCACCTTCCGATGATCAAAACCGTAGCAGCTGGAACCAATGTGCGCATAGTAAACGGTTTACAGCTGATAGGCTGAAACTGAGTTGTGTCAAATAACCGATTCAACCGCCCAGCTTTTGTTAGTAAGTTTTAGTCAACCACCTATTTTTGTTTTGAAAAACGCGTCGTAAACAAAAGGAACTACCAAAGTGAGGTTTCCTACCGAAAGTCAACTCTACCTCAACAACAAAATAATTAATTAAAATCATTCAGCTATGACAATCCAAATTGTTTTTTGTTCTTGGTCAGAAGCTATCACCAGAGGACAATACAATGAGTGAAGGTATACATGAGACTAACCTCTCAGACGTCAGGAAAGCAAAAAATTGTTTAGAAACCAACAAAAGACCTGTGCCGCACCCAAAATCAATCCACTCAGATAAGCCGGTTTCCATAGTATGAGCCCAGAGCGCCGTGTCACAAAGTACCTGATGTCCTTGTGGCCCGTATCATGAGCCATGTAACGCGGGAGAGTAACATTCTACTGCTAAAGAGGGAAACCAAGCAACCTCCGCTCCAACAGTTTCCTTCTGATAAGATTGTTCCGAAGGGAATATGATATCTTCTTGGACAACCCACGGTCCGTCCAACAAAACTATTGCACATGAGTAACTGCTAGTAGGTTGCGAGCAAATGTGACTGCAACACACTGCCTATCGTAATCTCATTTGTTGAGAACCATCCCCGACGTCTATCGACATCACAGAAACGCCAGTATGACCGATCAAGCGGTTTAAGAGCAGTGCGGATGTTCAAGCTTTACCAGAGTAGACAGCGGTAAATTCTCTCAGGTTATACACTCCACCTTTCTTTCATTAGGTGTTCGCATGCCAACACTAGGATTTATCTGAAAGAACATTTCTGTATTAGAAACACCGTGAACAACAAACAACCTTTAGAAAAGAGGGATGAGTCCAATCATTCAGCTACAGTCCCTCAGAAACTTGGTATGGTCTTCGCTGAGGCCACGAGAGTATACATCATGACATCTGTGTAGATGCTTTCTGTCTGCTCACCAACTTCGACTGTTTTCGAAAGGAGACAGCCGTGGCAGACATATCTTATTGACTGCTTCCCAAATTAACGTTATCTTCAACACTGATGTAATGAAGCTCATTATTCTAGGTGTAGGTAACTGGGAACTCCCTAATGTTATTGCTAAGGAGTTGCTTTTCTGGCCGTTCAAACCGCTGGTCAATGAGACTACAGCCCTTCCTGTCTTCCGACATGTGATTGAATGGAATGGCCAAAAACATGGCCGGAAGTAAAAGCGAATGAGAGTAAAATGAAGTTAATTTAGTCGTATCCGTCGTCAGCCTCATCGTACGAATCACACCGACCCCAACCATTATCCAAATTTGCGATTTACTAAATCATCTCGTGCTATCCTTGGAAAAAGCGTGAGAATGCACATCACACCATGGGTTGCACTCAAAGTTTTATATTCTCCTACCATAAAGGCATCCTGTCTGACCGTATTGGATACAACGACCGTTGGACTTACCTGCTGTGTGCGTTATTATACTGACTTTGGGGCGCGAAATATCGTCCAAATCCCAAAATAGCCTATCATCAATATTGCTAGGGGTTACGGTGGCTGAAGTACTATATTATTCGGAGAGCTCTTCTGAGTTCACAACTCACAATTCTGGTCTCAGCTATTCGAACGAACAGAGGACGGTGATAGTGAAAAGTGACTATCGAGGGGATGAACAGGGATGTGCGTTCAAACTCACAAGGAAATACTGGTTTACTGCCACCTGCTTAGATGAAAACCCGGGCCTCCGCTCAATAATGTTAATGATTCTGGCAGACAGGGCTGTCAGTGAGTCAGTGGCGTCGCTATCATCATAATTCCAGATGCGCAGTTTTCCGTTTTAAGCAACTAGCTGATTAAGCCAATGCCCCCGATGCCTAGGTATACGACCCTTAGTTCCCATTTTTTTTATAACCGTAACTGTACCAGATGAAACCAACGCCCAGTTGTTACATGGATTGTGGCTGGCAAAGCGGACACTTCAACAGTAGTCCGCTGGGTAATACCATCCACTGAGTGCGATGTAGATACAGATTTAGTGAAACGGAGAGTTCCGTGTCAGCGCGAATATAGCACAAAGATGTTCAATGGCACCGTCATTATCGACGGCACACCAGTATTCAACAGTGAAGCTTCGCTACCGTACAGCCATAACCTAATTGAAAGCTTTTGTGGAGAACAAAAAGTTGATGGGGAAAGGACCTAGTGCTGGCTATCACAATAATCTCTGAGTGCTTCCCTCTCCAGATACTCTGAATAGAAAGTGACCAAAAGAACGCTATTGGCAATGATTACAAGCCGCATCTTGTAGCGTCTACCATCATGTGCAGATCACAGGGGCGTTATCCTGGAAGGCAAACAGCATCGGCAGTACCCAGACTTTTCGTAATTTCTTGCCCGTTCAGAAGAAACTGGATCTTAAGTTGCTGGGACGGTTTGTGCTCCTCCATGACCCAATACATATTGAGATGTGCCGCAGAACGTCCATCCAACACTCGCAGTCTGTCATACCATGTTGGTCAATGACTAGCTGTCTGACCAGCAGTCATCTGGTCCTCCAGGTTGGGGATGGGACACCTATGTCCACGTACGTGTCTAGGCTTGGGCAACCTGCCAGCATCTCATCCCTCATGCTTCCTCTGGGTGGCGCGGCAGCTAAGCATCGAAAGGGTGCTACAGCTGAGCGATTATTTATTATTATTATTATTATTATTATTATTATTATTATATTTATTATTTACATACGGGATTTGCAGTTTCCAGGATATTCTCATTCACATTGCGAAATTTCTTCGAGACCAGTCGAGTCCTTGTGTGGTTTTACCATGAAGAAAATTGGAACACAGATGATCACCGCCAACCGGCAATCCGTGAATTCTGCTCAGGGCTATCGTAGCGGTTAGTAGTTTCGCAGCGTGCACCCAACCGTCGTGAGCACCACTGTCATTCAGCGGTTAGACAAGACAATTATCAACGCCCGAACGGCAAGACAAGGACCAATGCTTTGGTGGACAAAGCGGTATTTGAGCATTAAAGGCGGCTGCCACAAGAGGATCGAGTTAGCTGCACGAACAAAATGACTTGAAAAATACTTGTCACAACTGACCTGTAAATAGAACAGCTTCTCCCTAGAAACAGATACAAACGGCAAGATCACGAGTGCCTTCGAGGTAGTTTCCAGGACATGTTTCATCAAAATTATTTCCGCAACAAGTGTTTTGCCTGCGCTGGTGGGTGCTGAGTAGACCAGATTCCGCGTCCCATCTGAGATGTTTTAAGCCACGGTAGCCGACAGCTTACCAAGGACTCCAGGAATACGTAGACAGTCGCCTTGCCAGCTGAATACGAAGTTGATTCCAAGGTCGGTGTAAACACTGAATACGGTCGGAGGAACAAATAACGCATTGTCCGAAACACCAACGAACGGGCCCGGACGTAGCTCCATTAGCGCGCCCTTGACAAGGCGCTCCAGAGAACGCTGTGATTTACGCGGCTAAACACAACGCTTCAGATCACGGATTCACGGATTCACGGATTGATACACAGCATCGAGGCTTTTGCCCAAGTTTCCGGGGTCGGTTTTGTTCTTGTCGGTCAGTGGCTGTCGTTCACCTGNACAAGTGAAAAAAGTGTGTAGCACTGCTCTTTATGTTCTCAGCGCGGAGCAGTATGCTTGCCACCGAGAGGATTCGTATAAATGAATGTCTAATGGTGCTTTGAACTGGGTTCTAGAAGGAGTATGAACAACCATCAGAGCAACGTCATTCCACGCACCTACCACCCGAAATGGGGAAAATTTTGTCTAATGAATGTGTGTGCCCTGAGATTGAAAATTTTCTTACTATGTCCCCGCCTTGTGTTTGCTGGGTTAATGGTAAAATCCTGTTTGCCAAGGTTTGTTCAAACAGGGTATAAGTAAGAATTAGGTCACCCTGGAGGCGACGGTACCACAGGGGAAAGAGATCAAGCATCGCGAGGCGCGTTTCGTAGTTTACGGATTTGAGGCCGGCAACCATTCTCGTGGCGGCCCGCTGGACACGCTCAATGAGTGTGACGTCTTTTGTACGTCCTGAGTAGACAACTTGGTTGGCGTACTCCAGGAGCGGTCTGACGTAGGCCCCATAGAGTATTTGGAAGTCCATGCGAGATCAGTTCATAGTCCCTTGAGACTTTCTCGAGAACCTGCTAAAGCAGGTGTAATTCGCTATCCGTACCATGAACATCCAAATGGATGATGTGGCTTATTGAGAGTGGCGGAATAACCCCTTGACCTCCCAACGTATGGTAGGGTGGTTGACAAGTTTCCGGACCAACACAGAATAGAAATAAAAAGGTACTGTGCGGTCTTCCCCTTGAACCTTTTGCCCACTATTTTCCATGTCTTCGTCTTGCCATTTTATATTTCCTAGGCCTACATCTTGAAAGATGGCTGTGCACAAATCAGATCAACATGTGATAAGTTCAAAATCGGTTTCGGTAAATGCACACATTTGTAAATCAATTTGGTTTTCAAGGGAGACTCTGCTGAATCTCTCGTTTATGATTATTCTTCGGCTGAATGTGTTGCACAAAAATCGTCTAATGGTTTCGTTGGTACTACGTTAGAGATATGAGACTGCGCCTACCTGATGCGACCCTAAAAGGCGAAGCCGGTCGTCGACTTTCGAAGTGCTTTCACCAACCTTGTGAACAGTTTCCTTTCTTCAACGTTAGTTTCTTGTCTTCGCGCACTTATGTTGAATGAACACGAAATGCTTGCTATACCTGCCATTTTTCATTAAACTTTTGTGCACCAACCACATATCCCCCTATTCGAGGGAGCCCATGGCGCAAGTATTAGACCCTGCGCAATCCCCTGGCATCTGTGTAGTCAAAGAGCCCACAGCCCAGTACTCCACCCCAAGGCACGAGAAGAATGCCCCCAAAGTCTGGGAAGACCGGTGGCCATCAGTCCCGAAATTCGAGCTTACCGCAGCACCTGCTCTTTTTGAATTCATGACAGATACTCCGGCCTCAATGAAGTACAAGTCGAACCATTTCGCATTTTCGAGCCCCTCTTGTCAGCCCGCGTACGACCCTCATCCCTACAGCATGCGGATACATGCTTCTTTGTCCACACTTGTGTCTCAATGGGGTCGCTCAAAAACTGCTGATTCGGTGGGCGGCTAACCAGTTCCAGAAACCAAAACCATCGCCTTTGAAAACGGCAGACGGTGGAACAGCCGGCAACTGGCAACGTAGAGAGAGAACGCTTCTCACAGAAGATGTAGATGACCTTTTGACTTCCTGATTCAATGGTAGCTCGCAGATTCCCATAATTTTTGACCAAGTGACCCCCTTGTGACCCGTACTCTCATCGATCGTCGTGCACAACATCGCTGGGTCAACCTTCTTTAATTTTGCCCAAAATGTTTCGCGCCAACGGAAGGAAAAAGTAACAACCATATCCATTGTGATGCCAACTGATCTCAATGAAGTTTACGTTTTCGGCTGAAAATTGTCCTCAGACTCTTCGCGTAAGTGTCATCTTCAAATGTCTGACTAAGAAATATAAACAATGTGCAGACCTTGGAGACTACTTAACCTAGGGCGAAAGACCTCCGAAGGAAAAATAACCTCTCCATGTTCTAAAGGAGGGAGGTAAAAAGCGAATACCCCATGTTCTGGTAAAGATCCTAGCGAATCTTAAGCGCAAACCCAGAATAAAAGATTTGTCCCCGCTGTAATGCGAATCAAGAAGTCCAGGATATTAATATATTGCAGTCGAAAGTGAAACTGTCGGTGCACATGACAAATTGAACAAATTTTATGCACTCTTTCTGAAGCAGGATAGGAAGATCACTAAGTTGCCGCAGTGTGGCCAGTGGTTGAGACCGTCAACAAAAGTGGCTTTCAGGCAAGACCTATCTATTTCGGCTGGCCCACGCGTTTTAGAACTGTCTCGCCCATAATATCAGGCAGGATAGGGTCCTGCGAACCAAAGAAAATGGCTTTAGAACAACTTACAAGCGACTAGGTGCAACTCTAATAAACTGATCTCATTGTAGATAACGACAAACATTTCAAAGATGATCAGCTACCTCTTATGAAGTGTAATGGGTTCTAAAATTCCCAGAGGCCGCGCACAGGGCGATATAACACATCTGGATAACAGCGATCTCAACCAAACCGGCGTGCTTCAAAGGTTTTACCAAAAGATGGTCCCGGTATCCATGCCTGAACCAATCCCAAAAACAGGTCACATCAAAGACTTTGCGATAGTAGGCCTGCTTACTTCATCTTAGGGTTTGCCTCCGCGCGGACTGATTAAATTATCGGAAAGTTCACTAGGTGCACTTGACAACTGGAATCAGGAAGCAGTCGGATAAATGTAAGCGCCAAATGGACTCTAGGGAAGGTTGAGATAAAGTAACAGTCGCGGTGCATTCACCATATATAACTTCCCGAAGGTCGCAAACGCAAGCAGACGTAGCGCACGGCACAGCACCAGTTGCTTAGTCCATGTGGTGCATCGGACGTATGCAGCAAAACAAGCCACCGGCCAGACAAACAGTCTTGTTCAACGCAGAGGACGTGAATGTTCGAAAGGGGTTTACTGCCTTCAACAAAGCAGCAAAATATCAGAACACGGGGCGCTACCTGGTGCCCCCAATCAAAGTAGCCTCAAAACTATGGATAACCCACAAGCAGGTTTTATAATAATTGAAAATAGAAATTTACGCCGGCATCAGCACGACCTACGCCTTCCTTGAATGTGCGATCGGAGACAGAGCATCAATGAATAAAAGCGAATGATGAAAAATGGATAAGAGGTTTCTCTAGATTAAAGAGCTGAATCCATATCAGCCTAAGCACATGTCATCCACCGTGAAAACCGACAGCATTTCCACTGACATTGCTGAAACTATCTGGTGCGACTTTCTCCCGGAGGTACTGGGAAAGATCTGTCATTTCGGGCACCTCTACAGAAACCGTCTAAATCTCCTCACTTCAAACACTTTCGAGGAAGACTGGATTCGTACCGGAGTCGTACGATTAATGGTGAAATTTAACTCATGCCGAAACTCGTTGGCGTGCAGCTTCCCATACCTCACAGCAAATTTGGGAATCACTTGGGGCTCTTATTTTGGACAATTGCATATACTAATCTAGAATGAAATTAGCCGCGGTTTGCGATGTTCCGAAACCTCCTCAGGAACACCACCGGCAGTGATCTCGGAGTGGAAATGAAATGGGCGAATTGCTGGGTGCTGGAATTAAACATACACGCATACACGCACTTTTCAAATTTAGGAGCTGTTTAATTCCAGCGCCCAGCAATTCGCCGAATCCATTTCCACTCCGAGATCACTGCCGGTGGTGTTCCTGAGATAGTCAGCTGCAGGAGGTTTCGGAACATCGCAAACCGCGGCTAATTTCATTCTAGATTAGTATATGCAATTGTCCAAAATAAGAGCCCTAAGTGATTCCCAAATTTGCTGTGAGGTATGGGAAGCTGCACGCCAACGAGTTTCGGCATGAGTTAAATTTCACCATTAATCGTACGACTCCGGTACGAATCCAGTCTTCCTCGAAAGTGTTTGAAGTGAGGAGATTTAGACGGTTTCTGTAGAGGTGCCCGAAATGACAGATCTTTCCCAGTACCTCCGGGAGAAAGTCGCACCAGATAGTTTCAGCAATGTCAGTGGAAATGCTGTCGGTTTTCACGGTGGATGACATGTGCTTAGGCTGATATGGATTCAGCTCTTTAATCTAGAGAAACCTCTTATCCATTTTTCATCATTCGCTTTTATTCATTGATGCTCTGTCTCCGATCGCACATTCAAGGAAGGCGTAGGTCGTGCTGATGCCGGCGTAAATTTCTATTTTCAATTATTATAAAACCTGCTTGTGGGTTATCCATAGTTTTGAGGCTACTTTGATTGGGGGCACCAGGTAGCGCCCCGTGTTCTGATATTTTGCTGCTTTGTTGAAGGCAGTAAACCCCTTTCGAACATTCACGTCCTCTGCGTTGAACAAGACTGTTTGTCTGGCCGGTGGCTTGTTTTGCTGCATACGTCCGATGCACCACATGGACTAAGCGACTGGTGCTGTGCCGTGCGCTACGTCTGCTTGCGTTTGCGACCTTCGGGAAGTTATATATGGTGAATGCACCGCGACTGTTACTTTATCTCAACCTTCCCTAGAGTCCATTTGGCGCTTACATTTATCCGACTGCTTCCTGATTCCAGTTGTCAAGTGCACCCAGTGAACTTTCCGATAATTTAATCAGTCCGCGCGGAGGCAAACCCTAAGATGAAGTAAGCAGGCCTACTATCGCAAAGTCTTTGATGTGACCTGTTTTTGGGATTGGTTCAGGCATGGATACCGGGACCATCTTTTGGTAAAACCTTTGAAGCACGCCGGTTTGGTTGAGATCGCTGTTATCCAGATGTGTTATATCGCCCTGTGCGCGGCCTCTGGGAATTTTAGAACCCATTACACTTCATAAGAGGTAGCTGATCATCGTTGAAATGTTTGTCGTTATCTACAATGAGATCAGTTTATTAGAGTTGCACCTAGCCGCTTGTAAGTTGTTCTAAAGCCATTTTCTTTGGTTCGCAGGACCCTATCCTGCCTGATATTATGGGCGAGACAGTTCCAAAGCGCGTGGGCCAGCCGAAATAGATAGGTCTTGCCTGAAAGCCACTTTTGTTGACGGTCTCAACCACTGGCCACACTGCGGCAACTTAGTGATCTTCCTATCCTGCTTCAGAAAGAGTGCATAAAATTTGTTCAATTTGTCATGTGCACCGACAGTTTCACTTTCGACTGCAATATATTAATATCCTGGACTTCTTGATTCGCATTACAGCGGGGACAAATCTTTTATTCTGGGTTTGCGCTTAAGATTCGCTAGGATCTTTACCAGAACATGGGGTATTCGCTTTTTACCTCCCTCCTTTAGAACATGGAGAGGTTATTTTTCCTTCGGAGGTCTTTCGCCCTAGGTTAAGTAGTCTCCAAGGTCTGCACATTGTTTATATTTCTTAGTCAGACATTTGAAGATGACACTTACGCGAAGAGTCTGAGGACAATTTTCAGCCGAAAACGTAAACTTCATTGAGATCAGTTGGCATCACATGACACGCATGAACGATCG